AGAGAGAGAGAGAGAGAGAGAGAGAGAGAGAGAGAGAGAGAGAGAGAGAGAGAGAGATGTAGTGATAGTAGACGATGTAAATATTGATCTTTTATTATGCTCTTATATGATAAATATTGATCTTTTATTATGCTCTTATATGATAAATAAGAATGTAGTAAAAATATTTGCGTTTCTCATGATTTCTCCGCTGCATTCTTCGAATGTCTCACATATTGTCACTTCGCTTCTTATAACCCATTATTGCGCAAACGCGTCAGTAATGTTTCTCAATTGTGACAACTAGAATCGTTGTAATAAAAAAAATGTGTACTTACCGTTTAGTAACAGAATCTACGCGTTGTGTCAGACATTGTATTTGTTATAACATGACATTGTATTTTGCCTTCGTGCAGAAAAAAAAGTTCTCAACCTCTTAATTACAGAAAATGAATTAACTAGAGATTTAATATATTCAGCGCCATATGACTGTCACCAGTGACCGGCACTGAATTTTCTGTTTACGTCTTGTCGGTAACAGTCACACAATGAAAGTATTAAAATACATATATGACACGCAAATTACGTACATTTACGAAATTAACTATATTCAATAATAATAGAAAAGCGTAATCAATAAAATGTACTGGTAAACAAACTATGTAATGTTTATATATGTATTAAAAATTTAAAAGTAATTATATATTATAATGAATCTCTCTTATTAAAATATAGTAAATAATGACATATGACATCTTTTAAATTATCTATTAAGGTAATTTTATAAAATAACGTTTTCTATCAAACACTTGTCTAAGGCTGCATTCCGTTTCACGCATTATGTGCGCTTTTGTTACAATATACGTAATATGAATATAAGGTAATTATAGATAATTATCTTATAGATAATTGTGCGCATATACGTGAGAAACGGAACATGGCCTTAGAAATATTTTAAAATAAAATTTTTTTTACTACTGTAGCTCAACAAAGGTTGGTCAAGAAAAATTTGTTACCAATACATTTATAAATGTTATAAAATGTTATAAAAACAAAAAATACGGATAATTCATTCATATGACTGTCATGGCGTAAACAAGTGCTGCTAAGAGTGCGTTCGGGTAGTACATTATCAGTGCTACCGCGTCGTTCTATCCTTGTTGTATACCTAAAAAGCGATAAGGATAGAATGACGCGGTAACGTTGATAGCGCTCTTTCTGAAACGCACCCTAGATATCACTCACCTCGCAACGGTCACCGGTGACCAATAAATACAGTGGGCAATAAATACGTTATATACAGGGTGTCCCAGAACAATGATGCCAATGCTCGTGAGGGTGTAGAACAGATTGAGATAAACAAAAAAGTCCCTTACCATTTTGCGATATTCGCAATAGTTATCCAGATATTAGTTATAGAAAATTAGGTGAAATAGAGTTGAGATGATAAGAGAGAAAAAGCTATTCGAGCTGTTTGAGCTTTAGTATAGTCCAATTTATTTAGCAACTGATGCTGACGCGGGGCGAGGAGAAGGACAACACGCCGTTGTCCGTGCTTACATTGCCGCTTCTAGGCTCGCGTCGATAGTCGCTACACATTTGCTATTATAATACGATATGACTTTACAAAACAGCAAGAATAGCTCAAATTGAACCGTAATCGATTTCTATGATAAAACCCAGACTCCTTCAAGTGTGGTTGAGTGTTTTAAGTAAATTAATGCACAACAAGTATTGCTGTATATTTGCTGTATATTTGTTAGCATGTAATGAACGCGTTACTGAACGCAACATGATTGCTTATACTTAGATGACAAAATTTCAAGAGCAAATCGGTCAACGTAGCAATGTTGTCAGCATCATGACCAAAACTTTTTAACGAATTACAAATCTGCATCAACATATTGTTTAATTTGATGTTATTTGAATTAGAATTCACGTGAGTTCAATACAACACACATAATGATGTTTTACCTTGTTTCTAGTTTGTTTAAATTAGTTCCTGTTTGTTGTTGACAACACGACAACAAACTTACAAACAGTTGGCTATCTGGGAAGAAAATCGAAAGAAAAAGATAGCGATAGAAACCGAATCTGCAGAGAATCTAATTGTTTTTTTACAATGTTTTCGTTTCATTATATGAAATGAAAGAAACGGTATCATTTTCTATCACTATTTATTGTTTTCTGTTAGGAGAATATTCAATCGTTGGAATAAGATGGAATTTGTATAGAAACTTATCATATATCCTATCTTTTTATTAGGAGTCTATCCTGAATAAATCACTAAAAATTTGTAATCAGTAATGTATTAACGATAAGAGAAATTTAAAATTCTTTATGGTATAATCACAAAAAGAAATCTATCGTTGACAATCGTGAATCAGAAATATTTGATATAAAATTGATTCTTAAATATAATTATGATAGATTCTCGATTGTTTCCTTTCGCAAGGATACTATTTGCAGCATCGAATTTTTTTACTGTTTCTTATCGTTTCCGATAAATCGTGAATTAAAGGATTATATCATATATTTACGATTGATTTTTATGTTTTCCTTGCTAAGTATCTTATTAGAGAATTACGATGCGCGAAATATTTAAATAAACGAAGTAATTAAGTGGTAAAAATAGCTTTTTACGAATAAATTTCAATTTAATTTAAAAAACTATGAAAGTTTGAGTTGTGCATTTGTATATAGGGATTTTCGGGGCCGCTGATTTCGAATCTGAGGTTAGTTTTGTCACATTCAAGATGTCGGATGCAATATGGCGGACGAAAATGCGAAAAGTGATATGATTTGGATAAAACTTGGTATTTGGAGGTTTTTGGGGTTATTGATTTCGAATCTGAGGTTAGTTTTGTCAAATTCAAGATGGCGGATGCAATATGGCAGACGAAAATGCGAAAAGTGACTTGATTTGGACGAAACTCAGTATTTAGAGGTTTTTGGAGTCGTTGATATCGAATTTAAGATCAATTTTTTTGTCAAATTTAAGGTGGTTCAATATGACAAAAAACAACTTTTCATGAAATTGCTTGAAAATTGAGTTGCTTAGAGTTTTTAAGGCCAAAACCAATCTTGTACAGCAAGTCTGGGACACAACTCTTCGTGTGCTTCGGGAGCGCTCCCGTGCACAGATCTGTTGTATAGTATCCCAAGTAGGAATTCACTACTGGCATCAAAGTGACCCAGTACTGATTTATGGTAAACGTTACTGGCATAGTACCAGATGCCAGTACGGGTTTAGTATTACTGTGATACTGGGATGATAGAAAAGGGCCAGTATCGGAAAACAGTACTGTCACAGTATCGAAAATTAGTACTGTACCAGTATAAAAAAAAGTATTGATTCCTAGCACTGGGGAAGTATCTATTCCCAATACTGGACCAGTATCAATTCCTAGTAATTTTTATTATTTGTACAATTGTTAATATCATAACTATATAGTACGGAAAGAAAGATCAGACCCTAGCTGGGCTGCTCTTATTTGTACCTATACATGTATATTTTTAATAGTTATATGAGGAAAAAATTTTCGGGGCGACGGCTGAAATCAAACTCGAGTCTTGTCAGGCAAGCGTTCTTATCACTGAGCGTACTTATCACTGAGCTATCTAGGTTTCGCGTTAGTGACCTCTTCCGTTTTCTTATAAAGGACATTATTGGTATCGTTCGTTTTTTGGTACCGACACAATACTGGCCCAATATCCTCTATTGGCAGATTGTATACTATTCTTATTTGGGTATCGAGTACTGATTCTACAAACAGAGCCAGTACCAACAATACAGCTTTTTTTATATTGGACCAGTACC